CTTCTCTTGCTTTTTTATCGTCTAAACATAGCCCTTTTCTTTTCCTCGCCTTCAATCCAATCATAATAATCTCCACGAATCTGTTCCAGCGAATCGATCTTTTCCAGATCCATGGCGGAAGAGCACGGATTTCAAGCATCGGAGGGGCACCGTTTATGCGCCAATAATTGTGGGTTCTCCGGCAGCTCCGCCACCCAGAATTACTGCCCCAAATGTTACCGAGACATCTTCCTTAAACAGAGGGACCAAACGAAACCCACGAATTCGGCCGATTCAATATTACCGGCGCAGGTTTCTCAACCAGCCATCTCTTCACCTCCGGCCGGACCCCCGACGAAGATAGCGGCGGCGGCGGCGGAGGTGCAGCTGCCGGCGAACAGGTGTTCGACGTGCCGGAAAAGAGTCGGGCTTACTGGGTTTAGGTGCAGGTGTGGGGTCACCTTTTGCGGGAGCCACCGGTACCCGGAGATGCACGGCTGCACCTTCGATTTCAAGGCCGCCGGAAGGGAAGCCATCGCCAAGGCCAATCCTCTGATCAAAGCGCTGAAGGTGGAGAAGATATGATCTCGGGCTCTCTCAGCCGTTGATGGCTACCGGTTTCTCGAAATGAACGGCCATGATTGAATATGACTGGGTCAAAAGTCGAAACCGCCATGCAAAAAGTAGGGAAAACTGTCCTCGAACTTTCATAAAAGGTCAATTAAGTCCTTCTATAGGAGGTTCTGTCCGGCCGTCGCGATTTGGGGTAGTTCCCGGTGGAATTTTTTGATGAAATTTTTTTAGCATCTTATCCCGATTGAAACTGCCCCAAATCGCGACGGCCGTAGAGAACCTCCTATAGAAGGACTTAATTGACCTTTTTATGAAAGTTCGAGGATCTATTTGACTGTTTTCCCGAAAAAGTAAAGAAGAAGAAAGAAAAAGAGTCGTGTAATGACACGTCAAGACGCGTGGCGGTCTAAATTTATTTCCACTGTCGTTTCATTTGATTATTTTTGTTTCATTTTTTATTTTTCTATGCTGCCTGTAAGTTGTAACATTATTATTAGTCTTGGCCTGTATAAAAAATGTAAGATTTTTACTTCTGGTAAGTAAAAAAGCTCAAAACGAAATTGCAAAAAACCGGAAAAGTGCAATGCATATGCCCAAGTTGTGCAAGTTCATGAACTTTGAGAAAAGGATTGTCATACACAATCACAAAAAGTAAAAAAGAAAGTCACTTATTCACGATGGGTAGGAAGAAGTAAGGATGTTTTCTTTTGGACTGTTTTCAGTCCCAGACCAGACCAGACTTAAACAGATCAGATCAGACCAGACTAGACTAGACCAGATCAGACCAGACTAGACCAGACCAGACTTAAACAGACCAGACTTCCGTAGTTATAAAATACACAGAGACCAGACGTTTACCAGACCAGACCAGACTTAAACAGATCAGACCAGACCAGATTTAAACAAACCAGACCAGCAAATTTCAGTCTAAAAGAAAACATCCTAAGTATCAATTTCAGCATCTTAGCTAAACTTTCCGTTTCCGCTTTAGAAAATAATTGTCATTTTTAAATAAGAAATCGAATATTAAATTAATACATTTCTGACATCACAATTATCCTTAATGATTTTGTTATACGGAGTATCAAATATCCATAAAAAAAATATCAAAAATAATCGTCGTAATATATTTGAATTACCTCATTTAGTTACGGTTTAAATAATTGTGTCATTTTTTAGTGAAAAGCTTAAGTCGGGACATAGGTAGTATATTAGGCAACAAAATTGTAGAGCTCGTTTGGTGACTCTGTTTTTCGTTTTATCAGGTTTACCAGTTAACTTTTCACCAAATAAATAACTTTTTGATTTTGCCCGCTGGATTATCTAATAATAAGAAAAAATAAGAAGACTAGAATTACCATTTTGGATTTATTGGTTGAAGTAATTGTAGATGAACATTTTAACTGTTTTTTCATATGATTTTTTATTTATTTTACTATTAAGATATATTTTAAATATTTTTCTCAATCAATAGAATCAGTCAATCCACTCACTTCAATAAGAACTTCATAATTCAAGCAAATTCAAACAATACAATGGATATAGGTCTTTAAAGCATCCACTATGGGGAGGTCATTGGGAATCAAAAAAGAAATTGATCTCATTTGATCCCAGGGGCGGATCTGGGCCTAGGCCAGGGCGGGCCTAGGCCCACACTCAAAAAAATAAAATTACTAGTATATATAGGTGTTATATTATATATATTGTTATTAAGTAATGATATAATTACAAGGAATGTCAATTTGAACACAAATGTCGTGTTAGCAAGATGGAAGGAGACCCATATGTTTACTTTGACGTCCCAAGTTCTAAGATCAAGTACAGCATGATGTTTTTACTTTACAATGGTAAAGAGTGAAAATTTCATTTTTCTTCTAAAATCTCTATGTCCCACACCTATTATATTTATTGTTCTTTGACATTGAAGTTGCAACATATTTTATTTTACTACTCCCTCCGCCACTTAAAATTTTGTCAACTTTCATTTTTTGGATGTCTATCTAACTTTACCAATTTCCCTTTTAAGTACAGAGTTTGTGGTTACGGTTAATTCCCGCTCCTCTGCACAAATCCCTACCATACAGTTTTTATTTTATTAATCTCCGTACCTGTCAAACATGACAAATTTTTAAGGGACGTAGGTAGTATTTTACTACATTTTGTCATTTTTTTTTGCAATACGCGAGATTTAATTAAAATTTGGCCCCACCTAAATGGCAATGCTAGATCCGCCCCTGTTTGATCCTCACTATGAGAGCTCACGAATTGATCGATTTAGTTTTAATGATTGAAAATGAGAGCTGACAATTTAGTTTTAACTAACTAATTATAGAAAGCCAAATGACTTTTTACTTTGAAGCAAGAGTGGCTTGCGAAAGGAGAAATTCTCCTCCCGATCAAGGTAGTCACCAACCTCATCAACTACCCCCCAACTCCCTATTTTCATTTATTATGCATTAACTTTAATTTATTGTAAAAAAATTGGGTGAAATTCATACCAATAATATGTACTTTTAGTGATCCTACAATAATAATCTCTACTGAAAAAGTCAATACAAATAATCCAAACTCGAAATGTGTCTACATGAATAGATTAAATAACCTTCATAGATAGATTATTACCCTTTAAGAAAATAATTATAGTAATGATATAAAAAACACTAAACTCACATGTATGACAATGGTGAACAAAGTTAATACTGTATCCTTATATATTAAATATAAAAAAGATTAATCTAATCTATCTATGTAGACGTGTTTATCAGTATGGATTATTTATTTAAAGGAGATTAAGTGGAAAAGAGAGGGGATCACATGTCAATAGCTATCTATGCTCTTAATTTTGATTTAATGAGGCGGCAACACTTTTTTAATGAAAGAACGCCTCACCATTTTTCCTTTTAAAAGTCAATGAAGAGTTGCTGAAAGCAATGGGGCAAAAGTTTCCAACCTGGACGGCGCTTATTCCGAATTGGTAGTTGTGTTTACTGTAAAGTGCCAAATTATCACGGCATTACCACTCCTTTCTCACGTTTGGCCCTTTTTATGAGATACTTTGACCATTTTTACACATACGTGCTCCAGTGTGGAGCTGTTGACATACTCAATTAATTATCTTGATGAAAATGTGTGTTAGAACCTCTTGTTAATTTGTTATGCATACGAGTTACTTAGTTTAATCTGATTTGAATTTGATTCATTTCGTAATGTCTATTGAATTTGGTCACTTGGTATGATCAGATAGATTATCTGTTTAGCATCAATGTATCATTTCAACTTTGACCTAATAATAAACATATTTTTCGTATAACTCTATAATATATTATCCATGTTATGTAATGTATAAGGATGTTTTCTTTTGGACTGAAAATTGCTGGTTTGGTCTGGTCTAGTCTGATATGATCTGGTCCGGTCTGGTAAATGTATGGTCTCTGTGTATTTTATAACTACGGAAGTCTGGTCTGGTCTGATCTTGTATGAGACTGAAAACGGTCCAAAAGAAAACATCCTAAATAAATACACTATCCCCCCTAACCCAAGCCCATGAGTACTTGATTGGGTCCATGTATTTACCTATATATATCCCCTACTCTCCCCTATTTATGCACACTCTTAATCATATTATAATTGACCAAAGTGGAACGATGCAATTGATGCTGAATTACAATCGCTAGAAAAGCGAGAAGTTTTTGGGATCTGTCGTTAAAACAACAGAAGATGTTGAACCAGTGGGTCATAAATGGGTCTTTGTGTGTGTTGCGTAAAAGAAATGAAAAGGGTGCAATTATTACATATAAAGCTCGTTAGTTGCACAAGAATTTTCACAAAGACTCCATATTGATCATGGTCAGACATATTCCGATCTCCTGTGGCGGATGATACTACTTTTCGATACTTAATAAGTCTGGAAATACGTGAAGGGCTGGATTTACGCCTCATGGATGTAGTAACAACCTATTTATACAGCTCACTTGATATTGATGGGTGTGTGTGCGCGTGTGTGAAACTTTTGGAAGGTTTACAGTTGCTTGAAGCATGCAATAGAGTTTCTCGAGAACAGTATTCTATTATACTAAACAAATCTTTATATGGTTTAAAACAATCAGAGCGTATGTGGTACAATCGCCTAAGTCAGTACTTATTAAAAGAAGGGTATAAAAATGATGATATATGCTCATGCATTTTTATTAAGAGATATGGTCAGGAGTTTGTAATCATTGTAGTATATATTGATGATCTAAATATTATTGGAACTCCTGAACAACCACAAAAGGTAGTTGAATGTTTGAAAAGGAAATTTGATATGAAGGATCTTGGAAAGACCAAATATTGCCTTGGTCTACAAATTGATCATTTAAATAATGGTATCCTTGTGCATCAAACAACCTATATAGAGAAGGTGCTAAAAAGATTTTTAATGGATATGGCACATCCTTTGAGCACCCAATGCTTGTAAGACAATTTGGAGTTGATAAGGACCTATTTAGACCGCATGGAGATAATGAGGATATTCTTGGTCCAGAATTACCATACCCAAGTGCAATTGGAGCACTATTGTATCTTGTAAGTCACACTAGACCTGATATATCCTTTGCTGTAAATTTATTGGAAAGATCTAGTTCTTCTCCAACGCGAAGACATTGGAATGTGGTCAAACATATACTTCGCTACCTTCAAGGTACGAAAGACATGGGTCTATTATTTTCTAACGTGTCCAAAATAGAATTGATTGGTTTTACAGATGCAGGTTTTTTGTCTGATCCCCATAAAGGGAGATCACAGACCGGATATGTGTTTACATGTGGAGGAACAACAGTTTCGTGGCGTTTCATGAAACAAATGATTGCGGCAACATCATCTAATCATGCAAAGCTATTAGCCATTCATGAAGCTAGTCGAGAATGTGTATACTTAAGAAGTGTAATTCAGCATATTAGATGGTCATGTGGATTATGGTATGAAAAGGAGCCCCCAGCCATCTTATTAGAAGATAATGCAGCTTCTATCCACCAACTCAGAGAAGGATTTATCAAGGGAGATAGGACGAAGCATATTTCATTGAAGTTTTGGTATACACATGACATCCAAAAAGAAGGTGAAATTATCGTTCAACAAATTCGTTCAAGTGACAATGTTGCAGACTTATTTACCAACGTCCAATGGAAACCATCAAGAAGTTAGTGCACCTGATTGGATTACGTCAACGCAAGGATCTTGAGTGATATATTCATTAGCGGGAGTAAATACGCGATGTACTCTTTTTTCCTTGCCAATGTTTTGTCCCACATGGTTTTCCTCAACAAGGTTTTTAATGAGGCAACACTTCTTAAGCGTATTTTTATGTACTCCTTATATATTCTTTAGTTGTGTATATTTAAGGGGGAGTACTATGTAATATTGTAATGTATAAATATACACTACTCCCCCTAACCCAAGCCCATGAGTACTTGATCAGGCCCATGTATTTACCTATATATATCCCCTACTCTCCCCAATTTTTACACACTCTTAACCATATTATAATAATCCATAAGTTTTTTTTCTTTCTAAGTTATTTTCTCAGAAAATAATATAAATGAAAAGTATATTTAAATTATAATAACAATCTTATCGAAGTCTATTCTAACCAAAAAGAACACATATAAGTTATACTTATGTTGCTACACGAATAATTAATATACTACTTTCGTCCCATTTTGTATGTCTTGTTTTGATTTGACATAATTATAAATAAAGCGCTTCAATAGTAAACATTATATTAAAATTTGAATAAAATAAAATGAAACGATATGGAACATATATTACTTTACAGAAAAGGAAAGAGAGCATTTATTTTGGGATAAAATAGAAAGTAAGATACATAAAACAAAACATAGGACATACCACAATTAACTACATTTTATCTCAAAATGAGACCAACAATTTACCATACATTTTTTTCCCAATTTACCATACATTGATCAACAGTTCAACACATTTAACTCTCAATCTCAAGTTTTATGTTTCAAAATTTGATCATCTTCAAGTTCATTTTTTTAAATTCAATATAAATTATATTGTACTCCGTAACTTTTTTGAATATATAATTTTATTTTTATTATAATTTTCTCAAGAAGAATTTCATACTTTCATCAACATAACCTCAAATTATGTAATTGCACTCTCAATTCGGGAGATAAGGATTAATTAGCAGTAACCTTGTCATATTTCAATATCCTCAATAAAAATGTCACATTTTTAGGCAATAGTCAGAAAAAATAATTTAAGTATGGTTTTAAAAGTAATTTGAGAAGGTGTATAATATAATGTGGTATGTATGAGGGCAGATTATACCCTACAACCGGTTGTACGGTGAGCACCGTACAGCCGGGTATTTTTGAAATTAAATTGAACTTCCAGGCTTATAGCTACCGTGCTCTGCTTCTTCCGATTCTTCTTCGGCCGTCACTGCTTTCTCTGCTTTCACTTCTTCGGCCGTTCTTTGCTCTGCTTTTTTTAATTTCTCTTTCCTTTTGTTTTATCGTTCGTACGTTTCTAGGTTAGCCTTTTATTGTTGTTTTCCTTTTTTCTTTTTCTTTACTTTTTAATTCAAGAGCCTTTTGCTTTAATTTTTATTCAATGATTATGAAAATTTATACTATAAATTATTCATACGGTATCGAGCTTTTCTCCTCCTTTTTTCAATCATCTTTCTAACATCGTTTTTTTTTTTAATTTGTCCATTACAAAATACTAGTTTTCAAGCCCGTGCGATGCACAGGTAGTATGTATTTTAGCTAATTTTAAATTTGATTTTTACGGAATCATATATAATGTGACGCAAAAAAATAAACTTAGTCTAATATAAATCCGTTTGATAATACCAAAATTGGTCGAATCGTTTGATTCTAGGGAAAAGGGGCAAAAACACCCCTGAAGTTGTCAACAAGGGATATCTACACCCTTAAACTTAATTTTTGAGCAAAAACCTTTTATAAACTTGAAAAGAGGGCAAAACCCCCCTTTAGTAACGGAATGAAGTTAACAGAACATGCAGCCCTTAATTTGGTCAGTTGGCTAACTCGCCTATACGGGGGTGCCGTATATAAAACAAATACGGAGTGTGTACCATGTTTAAATTTTAATGCCGAGTATTATTTGTTTTAAATTTTAGCTTGTGCTATATTGAAGAAAAAAGGGATCCCGAGAAAAAAACGAGGAAGATTTTGGTCCTCAAATCATCACCTGGAAGAATACAAGGATGATTTTATTTGGACTGTTTTCAGTCCCAGATAGAGATGACAATTGTGACCGAACCGATGAATACCCGCATTGAACCGTCCCAGTCAAAACGGGGAAAACCGCATTGAATGGGTAACGGGTACGGGGCGGAGAATACCAGTTTTGTTTTTATGGGTAATGAGGCGGTTACGGTTTTATATATGCCCGCCCCGTTATCCGTCCCATAACCGCCCCGTTTATTTGTAGTCATGTTTTTATTACATTTTATCTATTATTTGTCCCACAACTATTAAAAGATGAGACTTTTCTATTTTCATTATACATATATAGATTATAGATGTACTAATTATAATGTATGAATGAAAGTTCTTAATAGATTTTAATAGTCATGTTTGATTATTATCATATACTACGTATTTTTTTCGTGATTAATTATTTTTTAGAATAAGTATTTTAGGTCAAATTAATTTAAGTTCTTCCTTTCTCGTCTTGTAGATATACGAATCTTTAAAGTGGCATCTGAAGTCTAGATTCGTCTACGCAATGCCACTTTTCGTCTTTTAAAATATTATTTGTATATAAAAAATTTAATGACTCGTTTAATAAAGCAGTTACCCGCGGTTACCCAAAATTTTAACCGTTACCTGTTGGGGCGGTTATGATTTGGATAAAAATTACCCATTGGGTAATGGGGAGGTTACGGGGCGGGGCAATTATCCAACGGGGCGGGTACGATTATATGTAAAACCGTCCCCGATCTGCCCTGTTGCCATCCCTAGTCCCAGACAAGATCAAAGAAAACGTAAACACACTAGATCAAACAAGACTTTAACAGACCAGGTCAGACCAGACCAGACTTTCAAAGTTAAAAATACATAGAGATCAACGTTTACCAGACCAACCCAGACTGAAATAGTTATTACTCAACAATACGAAGATGCAGAAAAATAGGAAGTATTAACACAATTTCAAATCTAAGGCTTATAATTTTAGTCATTATCACATTGAGTTTAGAAAACATAAAAAAAAATTGAGTTTAGAAAAATAAAATATTACATTTTGGATATGGAACACTAATATTACTTTTTTTATAAAATAACTTTGAAGAACAAAATTAATAAGAATTTGGATGATTTATAAGTTAGGTGGGAAAAATACGGATAATTAACTTCTCAATAGAATGTAATAAAAATAAATAGTATAAAATAATTATTTATTGTTGTGGTTGCAATTGCTTATTTTAATAACTACCCGTAAGAGTACGGAATAAGTTATCAAATAAGATGGATTATATCCTACGGTCTTTTGTTTCCATATATTAATATGAAATAAAAAAATAGAATTTAATAAAGAAAAATAAAAGGTATAAAAAGTAATTAGATAATTGTTATATACGATGACATGACAGAATTGTGTGGCACGTCGTATGCTCGATCTTAAAAAGTTCATCTTTTATATATATATATATATATATATATATATATATTGATTTCTCAATTCAAAATATAAATATTTATATGACATTAAAATTACACTATTCATTTAGTTCTGACTTTATTAAAAAACAATTTTTAAGCAAGTAAAAAAATAAATTATTCTAACAATAATACGCATATAAATTGCACCGTCTATCAGAACTTGCAAAATGATACTACCTATTAATCTAAAATAAATATTTTTTGGGTGAGGCGGTGAGCACATGTGATGATTTGAGGACCTAAATCTTCCAGGTTTTTTTCTCGGGATCCCTTTCTTCTTCCATAATAGCAAAAGCTAAAATTTAAAACAAATAATACTCCCTATTAAACATAGTACACACTCCGTATCTGTTTTATGTACGGCGCCCCTATATAAGTGAGTTATAAGGGCTGCATGTTCTGTTAACTTGATTCCGTTACTAAAGGGGTATTTTGCCCTCTTTTTGTTGGAAATTTTGTGATATTTCAAATGAATAAGATTTTTTTACATTTAAATTATTATGTAAATGAATTTAATTCATTAATTGTGTTCAAACTCTTAAAAAAACATAATGAAACCGATGCATTTTCTTTAATTCAAAGCATTGAAGTTTCTATTATTCTCTTTGTTTTCTAAACGTTACATTGTGCCTTTAGTGAGAACTATTAATATTATTAATTCTTATTAAACTATGTCAATTTGGCTTGCTGACTTTTGGATGTCCATATGATTCGTGTATATATATGTATAATAATGCAAGCATACTTTTTGGTGAGAAAATAAGAAGAAGGGGCTGCACAACAAAGAAACCCATGTATTGGTTGTATTTGTTTTTATGCTTCTGCCAAAAGAATTGAAAGGAGATGAACAACATAATATGTGTCCTTTTGGAAATCATTTCACGCCTACAAACTGGTTATACAATACTTAGACTTTTAATTTTATTGTTGGGTTCATATACTAATTACTTCTCGTTAGTTCTGGTACCGGTTTATAACCGAAGGGCTCGTTATATCTTGGGGGAAATTTCCGTACGCCGGAAATAATTCCTTAGGACAGCGTATAACGCGTCTCGAGCCACTAATATATTTTTAGTTCTTTTTAGTGATTATTTTGCAGGTCAACGAGGTCAATTGAGTAGCAACACGGTCAACACGTTGAATTTGGAAGGATAGAGCCAACAATCTAAGGAATTAAGGCGAATAAAGATTACACCTATGGAATTGTCAACGTGTCCGAAATTCTCTTTGAGACAAGCGGTGAAAATTC